CCCCCCGGGCGGGGGCCCGCCAGCCAGCGCTTCCTCTCCCTGCCCCAGCCCCGTCTGGCTGCAATGCAGCCACCCAGGGCGATGAGGCAGCCCTGGCGCTGGCTCCCCACGGGTGGGGGGGCAACGGCTCTCCCCGTGCTGTGACCCACGGCCCGCAGCCCCCAGACAGCCCTGCCGAGCCCTTGGGCAGCTGCCCGCAGCCTGGCTGGCCCCCTCCCCACAGCCCCTGCCCATACGGGGGGCTGGATGCCCTGGTCCCAGTGCGTACCGGGCTCTGGGCAGCATGGTTCCCCACACCCTGACTGCGGGCTCCAGCGGCCCCCGAGGGACACCCGAAACCATTTCCCTCCTGCAGCCCCCAGCCTCTGCTGGGGCAGCTCCTGTGCACTGGACCCTGCCAGCGCCTGTCCCCCGCTGACCCTGTCCCCTCTCCTCCACAGCGCTCCTGGGGACTGGCCTCTGCCACGCGGGCGCTGAGGCGGAGGGTTTTGGCCAGGACACCAGGACGAGCCCACCCGTGGCCGTGTTCAACTGGACGGCCCAGCTCGTAGGTGAGTGCTGGGGCTCGGCGAGGGCCAGGCAGTGCCATGGGGCCGACAGTGCCCTGGCTGGGGCTGGCTCTGCACCACAGGGTGACCCCCCCCTTTCCCATGCCCATGTGTTCTCTGTCCATCCCCAAAATAGCCAGGCTGTGCCGTGGAGCCCTCCCTGGCGCTGGCCACAGTGGGGGCAGCCAGCAGCATCCTGCCCTCCTGCTGTGCTCCTAGGCATCGCCCCGGGGTTGCTGTGGGGTCCAGCCCCCCACCATGCCTGTGTCCTCCCCGCTGGCCTGGGCACAGGTTCGGGTGCCGGTTGTCACTTGCCAGCAGCCGTGGGCAGTGACGGGCTCTGGCAGGGGCTGCTGCCCGCGCTCAGTGCCTTTCCCCTGCAGAGGAGACGTACACCAACATCACGCAGAAGTGCTGGGAGGTCTTCGTCGACCTGATGAGGAATGTGACAGCGTCAGAGCTGTGCGAGTGGAAAGTCATCAGCAGGTACGGGGCGGTGGGATGGCTGGACAGCCCTCCCGAGCAGCGCTGCAGGGGCGCAGGGGGGCAGGGGCTCTGACCGTCTCCAGGGACGTCCTTGACTGGGGAAGCTGCACATGGGGACACTTTGGTGGGGGCATTGCCTGTGGCCCCTCCGTCCCCATGGCCACACGAGTGGACAGCAGAAAGTGTTTGATGGGGCCAGAGCCCCCGGGCCATGCCGACAGGCCACCAGCTCCCGGCCCAACGGACCCAGGGCCACCTTCCCCTCCGGTTACCCCTGCTTGCGCGGGGCTGGCTGGTGCAGGCAGCGGGGCACAGAGCAAGCCCTGGGCAGTCCAGAGGGGTGCTGCTGGGCCAGGGGGGG